TAGTCCAGGTACCATTATCTTCCAATGCCTGAACTTCTTGATGCATGGCTTCAACCCATAATTTGTCTTGAGAAGCCTCATGGTAAGACTGAGGCTCTACTACTGCAGAAAATGCATGTAAATAATTCTGATAATCAGTAGAGATGTTGTCATAGCAAACATGATTTGTTATAGTATGAGGATGAGACTTTTGGGGCACAATGTAGTCTTTAATCCATACTGGTGGTTTGGTAGCTCTGCTAGTCTTTCTAGGACCAATATTGTCTTGTTGAATGTCATCTGGATGCACAGGATTATCAACAGGTATAAGGTCAGCTTCTGCAGGTTCCACCATCATCTCAGCTTCTGCAGGTTCCACCATAGTCTCATGTAATGCATTAGTATGAGTAGAAGTAGGAATAAGTGATGCTGGCTGCATAATGGGCTGATTATAGTCATGTGTACCTGCATCATCTATAAATGGTGATAATAAAGGATAAGGTCCCTCATCTGCCTTCAGAAGCTTGAAAGGAAACACCTCCTCTCTGAAAACCACATCCCTGCTAATAAACACAGTTCTTGTATCCAAATCATACAGTCTATATCCTTTTTGTATGGAAGAAAAACCCAACAAGACTGATCTCTTTGCTCTAGCCTCAAATTTGTCTCCTCTGGGCAGTGTACTCGCAAAACACAAACATCCAAAAACTTTAATGTGTTCTATACTAAGAGGTTTCCCAAATAACACTTCATAAGGAGACTGTCCATCCAAAACACCAGTAGGTAATCTGTTAAGAAGATAGACTGATGTTTGTATACAATCACCCCAGAATCTACTAGGCACATAAGATTGCAACTTCAATGCTCTTCCTACCTCCAAAATGTGTCTATGTTTCCTTTCAACCACACCATTTTGTTGTGGTGTATAAGGACAACTACTTTGATGCACAATGCCTAATGAAGAAAATAAAGTATTAACTTGACTATTGAAGAACTCAGTACCATTGTCTGATCTCACGGTCTTTATTGAACAACCAAATTGATTACAGATCATAGAAAAGAAACTTTTCAATACAACTCCTACTTTTTTCTTGGACTGTAACAAAGAGACCCATGTAAATCTACTGTAGTCATCAACTATAGTCAAGAAGTAATGATTTCTATCATAGGTGGGATGCTGGTGAGGACCCCAGACATCCATGTGCATAAACTGAAACAAACTACTGGATTTAGTTATAATAGAATGAAACTTCAGTTTACATTGTTTGGCCAAGGGACAAATCATGCATTCTTCTTGTATACTAACATCTACTTTATTCTTCAAAATGGAAATGTGCTTCATTACTTTCATAGAGGGATTCCCCAATCTGAGATGCCACAACTTCAAATCTGTCATTCTCTTGTTTGTAACTACTGCTCCTGCTACTGAGAGTGCTTCATGCTTGAGAATGTAAAGACCTTCTTCTTCCTTACCAATCCCAATCACCTCTCCAGTACTGAGAGCCTGCATTGTACATAGGATAGGATAAAAAGACACCACACAATTCAGGTCCTTAGTCAGCTTAGAAACTGACAGCATACTGAATCTAAATTCTGGTACATGTAGCACATTTTCCAGCTTGTATTTTTCCAAAATCACTGCATTTCCAATGTGATCTATTTGAATTTTATTCCCTGTAGGCACTTGCACTTTATTAGGATTTGACTCTGTTAGTTGTTTGCAATCGTGAAGGATCTTATCACAATAAGTAACATGATATGTAGCCCCAGAATCAATTATCCACTTCAAATTTGCTACATTCATACTATCATGTTTAACATTCATACCTGCAATTGCATTTGCTTTACAACTTCCCGTGGGCTGAGAAACCATCATCTTCATCACTTGATCATAATGTTCCTTTGTGAAATAACCACTTGGAAAATGGAAGTGAGCTGATCCTGATGCTACTGCGGTTCCTCCTCCTGAAGTAGATGGGCCAGCTTCAGCTGTTGATACATGAGCATGAGGTATGTTATCCTCATCAGTAGACACTCTTCTTTTGCTTTTGAAATCAGTAGGAAAACCTACAATCCTGTAACAAGTCTCTTTTGTATGGCCTTTGTATCCACAGTGTTCACAGATCACACCTGATTTCCTTCCTTGTGAGATATGACCTTGATTCTTCTTGGACTGAGAAATATTAGGTGGATACTGAGAATTTTGTGACTGATTATTGAATCTCGAACCTCTTCCTGCTAGCATAGTCATTGGATCCTTTCCTCCTTCCATCAAACCTAGCTTCCTTTGGCTTTCCTCTTGAATTGCCATTGCATAGGCTTGATTCACACTTGGAACTGGTGAAGCAAGCAGAATTGAACTCCTGACTTGAGCATAACTCTCATTCAATCCTATTAAAAATTGCAATAACCTCTGTTGTCTAATGTGCTCAACATGAGAATTCGACTCCTGACAGTCACATGATGGAGATGGCACCATAACATCTATTTCATCCCATAAATCTCTCATTCTAGAGTAGTATGTAGTCACAGAATCTGTTCCTTGACTCATCATACTGATCTCCTTCCACAGGTGAAAAATTCTAGTCAAATTAGATTTATCAAACCTCTCCTTGAAGTCGCTCCAGATCTTTCTCGCACTTGATGCATACACAATGCTGGTTAACAGCTCTGGTGCTACTGTTGCACTGATCTACGATAACACAACTGCATCACACATTTCCCATCTAATTGCCAAATCTCCTTTGTACGTGCTCTTAACACATGTGCCATCAACAAATCCAAGCTTGTTTTTGACTAGTAGTGCAAGGCGCATTGATCTACTCCACAGTCCGTAATTCTCCGGACCTGTAAGTTTCATTGGAATTAAGGGAACACCAGGGGTATCAGATGACTGTAGATGCAAAGGATGATTGTGATCGATTTGTGGATCAATTGTTGTTGCGTCTGGGTTTTTCACCATTGTTGCAGTGTTATTCACCATTGTTGAATCTTCAAGCAACTAACCGTGAAGCTCTACAGACTTTCAATCGCCTGCTCTGATACCATGAAAACTTTTGTAATCTAACTACTCGAATTGAATTGAGAGCTTTCTAGAACAAATTCACATTGTTACCAATGACAAGTTTTCATTTCAATCAACTGATCTTTTACAGAATAAAACTGAACCTACATAAAGGAATTTCTCATCAATTAACTCACACGTGAATCACATGTTTTTAACAGAATGAATAACAGAAAGTTAACAATCTAACAACTTGACTTAACTGCCTAGCAACTTGACAATTCTATAGCTCAATACATGCCAAGTGTCATTAGAAGGAAAAAAGGTACAAGTTTATTATTAATAATTAAAATATATAAAAAAAAATTGGGACCTATTCACGCCGTTGCTGTGAAATGAGATGCACTTATTTTGCCACATTAGCATTTTGTGCTTAATAGACACATGTTTTCAATAATTTAGGTGTTCAATAGGTACAAGTCATAGTTAAGGTGTTTAAGTGAATTATGCGGACAACTTTAGGGTGCCGCAAATGACTTAAGCCTTTATTTTTGTGTATGGTTAATAATCGAATAACCGAACTAAACCAAACCGAAACCGATATCGATTAATGTATATGTATTATATTTAGTTTGGTTTGATTTTGATAATTTTAAAACCGATTAAGTTGGTTTTGTTTTGATTTTGACCAATAACCGATCCAAATCGACTCATGAACACCCCTAGTCAGGGATAATTTAATTCCAGGTCACGTAACTGCCACGTGGAATATTTTGTCCTCGTGGTATTTTTTTTAATCAAAAAATATAGCATACCCTTTTTTTAAAAAAATCTTTTAAAGTCATATTTTTTGGGTCAAATTTTATCAAACAAAGCTTATCAGGAACTTCATTATTTAGGCTTATTAGGATAAAATGATGAAGTGCCAGTTAATCTTCTACAAGTTTGATAAGAAAAAAGAAAAATCCACAGTTATGAACAAATACTAATTGCATTTTAAAAAGATATAAAAATAAAATAGAAAGTTTTGACTTCATTGTTTTGGATAAATTATTTATTTGATTTAAAATTATGGAGGCCCAAACAAGTGTTCCTTACAAATTTTACATGAAAAAGAAAACTATACATTGAAACAAATTGTCATTACTTCTAAAGAACAAAAAAAAAGTATATAACATCTCCATTATTATTATTTTTGGTCCACGGAAAAAATACTTGAAGTATTCAATAATTAACCTGAGAAGATGATGTTGAATATCCTAGTCCTTAATAAGCTTGACAACAAGGAGATAGTTTCCAAATCTATTTCTTGGTAGTCCATTATCTTCGCTATCTTTAGCCTTTTTTTAATGCTCCACAATTTTGTACTGAGGCTAGATAGGAATTTCATCAACTACATGAGTATCCCAACAACTATTTTCCTTGATTATCTCTAAAGAATTCTTCAAAAATGGTATCTTCTGACACAGAGGCATGATCGAAGCACACCCGTTCAATGTGCTACTTTCACGATATGCTATAGTCCTGGGTGTCTTTCAGTGGTTTTCTAGCCTTCGAAGAAGTCGTGTCCGCCCCTTTGTGGGGGTCCCGACTCCCGACCCCTATGAGTGATGAAGGCTTAGGCTTCCTTTTTTGTTTTAGGGTTTCTTTATTCATCGTCGGTGGCTTTGACCCTTCCTTCGCTTACCGGAGAGAGGCTGAATTCAAACACACCCAAAATTCACAAGAATCGTACGAGCATCTATGGAGCGTAGCAAGGACATTATCTTTCCCGCATCGTCTTTTAGAAGGGTGGCCCACATGGTAGATGGGGGGGGGGGGGGGGACTAGCCTCTGATTAAAAGGTTGAAGAGTCATAAAGTAATAGTGTAAAGTTTAAGGGGTCATTGCTGTATTTGGCCTAAATTTGGGTGAGAATTAGACTTTTAGATCAAACTACAGGTATGAAGTGTGATTTTCAAATCTTTTGGGTGCATACGCGTAAATATATAAATGCTTCCTCATTTGACATTACAAATTACAGTAAGCTCTCTAAAGCTTCAACCAAATTGCCGGCAACTGTTGGAATTTTCTCCGGGAAGCAAAAAAGTAAGCTGTTCTCAAATTTTGTGTTTTGCATTATAGACAAATTCCTCTTGATGGGTTTCCGATTCTTGGAGAAATTTCTTGTTTTAGCATCAGCATTGACTACTGCCTACAAACTGTTTGATGATATGCCTAACCCAATTGCCTCCTTCAATTATTAAATACTTAGTGTTTGATTTAATAAAAATGGACCATTATAAATTGAGGGTATGTTGCATTTTCTTTTTTCATCCCTTTACTCTTAATGGTTTGCTCAATTTTGTTTTGGGCCAAAATAAACTATTGAGTATGATGCATTCTGTTTCATTCTTTGGAAGTAATTGGTTTACTATGATTCTTCTGCTCAATATTGGGCTACATTGTTTCCATAAGCTTACTCTGTTTCAGATGAATGTGAATCTCCATTTGTATAATGCAACTAATGGCATGAAAGTAAGAAATCATTCTAAAATTTGTCTTTTAGTAAAGATACTATGGATGAAACCATGTAATAAGTTGTTCCACCACCTGGCAGATTTTGCAAGGGAATAAACTTACTCTTTCTGTCATCAACAAACAACAAAAACATACCCATTGTAATCTCACAAGTGGGTCCAGGGAGGGTAGGATGTACCTAGACCTTACACCCTACCTTCTTTATGGGGTAGAGAGGTTGTTTCTGATAGACCCTCGGCTCAAAAGAATAGTTTTTGAAGCAGGATTGCAAGAAAATATAACACTCTTTCTATCATCCAAAAGATAAATAAATAAAAAGAAGGTTTGAATGCATTGCATTAGTTTATGTTTGTCTGATTCCAGTTTATTTGGTTATTCCTTCTTTAAAAATTAAATCTAATAAATTTTAGTTTTAAAAAATAGAAATAAGTACAAAATAAAAAAGATAACTTTAGAGAAAGAGATTTCTTTTTGTTATTGTTGTAAATAATGGAATAGCAATGTGTTCAAAGACATTCCAGTTGGTTTTGAAATTAGATTCAGGAATTATCAGTTCATTTGAGGGTAGTAAGATGGGGAAACTAAAAGTTTTAGAACTTGTGGTTAGATTTTCAAATTGGCCAACCTATTTTTAGATTTTACTTTATGGGTTATGGTATGCAATATGAAAAAGACATGCTGTTTATAGTGTTAAAGTTATCTTTTGCCATGTTAACCAATTTCTTGTAGTACAATTGGTGATGATTATATCAAGAGAGCTTCAATTTTGTTCATTGTAATTGTTTTTCCTCAGTGATGTAATTCATTCGGGTCTGTAATACTTAATAGTTTTTCTTATTTATTTGATTCATCTGCTCATTAGCTGTATTCTTGTTTCTGTTTATATTCCTTAACTAGACTTAGGGAAATAATTAGAATAGTCAGGTAATGGTGTTTTACACGTAACTCGAGGATGCCAACACCTTCTCCTTGGGTTAACTTAACCTCCTGAACTTAGAATCTCAAGTTAGTAGACTTTAGGAGTCATTTTGAGGGGTTGTCTTTCTCTTTTCCTTTATTTATAATTACTCATTTAAACAAAAAGTAAAATGAATTAGGTGACCAGGCCGCTCCAAAATAATTAGGATGGTAAAACCCTTAGGAGATACCATTTTGTCGCGCATATTTAACCTTTTCTTTATTCTTAAACTCAAGGTGTGCCACAGAGAAATGAGAGGAGGGTTGATATGGGCTACAGCAGAGGACTTGGCAAAGAATAGAGGAAGAGTTCTGTCTTTGTATAGGCAAATCTTGAGGAGCCTTAATTCACCTGCTTTGCCATTTAGCTTAGCAGTTAGACTTCAAAAGAAAGCTGAGGTCCGTGCCATGTTCATGTTGGGTTCTGAGGAGCAATCTCTTCATAACATTCAAGATCTTATTGATGCTGCTGAATACTCTCTTTCCATTTTAAGAAAAGGCGAAATTCCATAGCACTTTCAAGTTTATCAATAAGCCCGGACAATTTTCTTGTGAGTGCAAATGTTGTTGAAGGATCTTTTGCATGTTCTTACATTTCTTTATGCATATATAAAGCATACTGTTTCATTCAGCTGAACTTGAAGTGTGTTAGTTTTTCTTTCCTGCACAATGGTTCTTTCTAAAGTACGAGTATCGTCAAATGAGAATAAATAAAACAGCATTCTGATGAAGAGAACAAGATAAATAACTCATAGAATTCTAAGGTAAATAATTAAAGGACAGAACAATAATTTCTACTTGATAGCATGTATATGCTGTCAGCTGCTTTGCACGTGAGCTTTTGTTAGCTGTAAAGATGGATCAGCTACACAAAAAAATTGTTTGGCGCTTTCTTGATCTAGTAGTGTATTTTGTTCACACTTGGAGGTTGCTATAAGCTTGTTGCCATTGTTTTGTTCAGGCAAGCTGTTATAGTGGGAGGCTTGGGGCTACTTCTTTTTGAAACTAGGGGTGGTCCGGTGGTAATCACATAAACTGTCAATTTTGAAGGTTCCTACATTTTTCTCACGGGGTTTGCATCAGTTGAACTTTAAAGTATATGATGAACAAAATTTAGCATATTTGGATAACATTGATAAGATGATCAACTACTTTGTAGGTAACTAGCTACACTTGAAATTCCAATTACAGATGGGATTCCAAGCTTATAAACTCATTGCAAACTTTATGCATGTGAATTAACTTCAGCTTCTGCATTTCTCATAGTTTTCTGTTTTTGGCAACTTTACTGTAATTATCTTCCTATTTCTTCATAAGTAATAACACTTTCCTTGTGTACAACTCTTATAAAACGGTAATAACATTTCTTTAGGGGTACATGTACATACATGATGATTTATTTTCATACGAGTTGCAAACTGTTCTAAATACTGACATGTTCGAACAGGTTTGAAGCAGCCCGTGTTTGATTCTAGTACTAGCAACTTCAAGTCTTTGATGAAGATTTCTCTTGTGCAACATGAGTCTCTAATCATCTCCAAAGAGGCTTCAGCTTCCTGTAAATTATTAGTCGTATAGTATATGGTTTTGGAGTAGACGATCTATGACATTATTTTGCCAGAGACTATTCACACGAGGATGTCAGTGTGCTTCTGAATGACATACAATTTTTGTCCCCTAAATACAAGCTGAATTACAAAGACGGAGAACGACATTTCCTTGTTCCTAGAGATGTTTAGATATGATAAAACAAAAAGTTGAGACCTGAGAATTATTAGTACTTGTAGTGATTTCTTCTGCTCTGGCCTGTCAAAGTGATACAGATGTGTTTTATGTGCATCCCAAAGTTAGTACTTTTGCTTTGGTTGATACTTGGCTCGACTGTTTCCTGTTGTTAAAATGGTTAATTTTTCGTATTAGATGCTATGGTTTTTAAAAATCTGGACAATGCCTGTTTTTAAGCTTGGAAACTTATTTTAGAAAATTGGGTTAAATTCATACTGATGGTTATTAGGACATCACCCCAAAACTATCCTATCGCTCACAACTCATAAATAAAGTAGAAATAGCGCTCACTAACCACTCGGGTTTTCGAAAGATAGTCATTGCCCTTTAAAATTTCACAAGTCATGTTATTTAGCATTTTCTTTGTTTTCGAAACTTTATGACATTTGCATTTTTGGTTAGCCTTTTTATTTTTTGGAAACTCCAGGATAACCTTTCGGGTGAGCAGTGGTAAATTCTCTGCTATTCATGGGGACTGCACTAGACAAATTCTATGTGTCATGCTGACTTAAAAGACCCTATGACAAATTCTATGAGATAGACTAGACTCAGAAGACATTGAAAGAGGATATTAGCGGATTTGGAAAATGGTTATTTGTGGATAAGACAATTTTGGTTGGACCAAAGTATTTATGCCCAATCAGCACGCTCTTCCATTGATCATGTAAAAATCTGTTCGATAATTCTTCCCGCCAAAGTCCGTCGTGATTCATCTAAGTCCCAAATTACAGTGAACAGTTTCGATTTATGGAGCTCAACATCCATATTATTTTTTCTATGTGTTTCTGAATAAGAAATCAAATGTTCTAACGACCATGGCCTTAGTTTTTGGTTGCACTGTAAATTCTCAAGACCCTTCTGTCTTTCACAAAATCCAGAGCAGTAACTCAACCAAACAATTCAATTTCAATACTTTAATTACCAAAACTAGTTCCCTACAGCACACCCAACAGTCCCTTTACGCCAAAGTCATATCTTTATGTTCTTCTTCAATACCCTCTAAGGATATGAGCTATGCCCACTCTCTTTTCACTCAAATACATGACCCAAATATCGATGTTTATAATTCTTTAATGAAATGTGTTTTAAGTTCTAAATGTAAGGAAAATGCTTTACTTGCTTTGTTAATGTATGTTGAAATGATGTGTAAAGGGTTAGATTTGGATAAATACACGTACCCTCTTGTTATAAAGGCGTGTGTAGAGTTACGTGAGCTGAGATATGGCAGATTGGTTCATGCCCATGTGATAAAAAATGGGTTTGTGTTGGATTTGTATGTAGTGAACAATTTGATGCGTTTGTATGGTGTTTGTGGGTGTGTTGGGAGTGTAAGGAAGGTGTTTGATAGAAGTTCTGTGAGAGACTTGGTATCTTGGACTATTTTGATTCAGGGGTATGTGGACAATGGTTATTGGAAGGAAGGAGTGGATTTGTTTTTTGAGATGGTAGACGACGGGTTAAGGGCTGACGAGAGGATGATGGTTGTTGTGATATCTGCTTGTGCAAAATTAGGGGATTTGAGATTGGGACAGAAGTTGCACAAGTATGTGCAGAGTCGTAAGTTGAGTTTCGATGTGTTTCTTGGGAATGCATTGGTCGATATGTACTTGAAATGTGGTGAACGCGATGTTGCTCTTAATGTTTTCAGAGAGATGCCGATGAGAAATGTGATCTCTTGGAATACAGTAATATCTGGATTGGCTCAAAGAAAGGAGTTTAAACAGGCCTTGAGTGTGTTTAATGAAATGCAGGATCAAGGAGTAAAGCCTGATGAGAATACTTTAGTTGGTGTTCTAAACTGTTGTAGCAATTTAGGGGCGCTAGAAGTTGGGAAATGGGTGCACACATATATAGATAGAAATCGGATACAAGTAGCTGGGTTTGTGGGCAATGCTCTTGTAGATATGTATGCAAAGTGTGGAAGCATGGACGATGCCCTTAGAGTTTTTGGAAGTATGACTACTAAAGATGTTTATTCATACACATCCGTTATAGTTGGTTCGGCCACACATGGAAAGGCACGGATGGCACTTAAGTTTTTCTATGAGATGCTTGATAATGGTATACAACCAAATGAAGTCACATTTGTAGGTGTTCTCACAGCTTGCAGTCATGGAGGACTGGTGGAAGAGGGTCACAAGTTCTTTACAGATATGTGGAGAGTGCACAAGTTAAAACCTCGAATAGAGCATTATGGCTGTATGGTTGATCTGTTGGGTCGTGCAGGTTTGATAGATGAAGCAATGGAGCTTGTGAAACACATGTCAATTGAACCTGATGCTTCTATTTGGGGATCGATATTAGCAGCATGTAGGATCCAAGGAAAAGTTGATCTCGCTGAGCATGTGACTGAGATACTTGTCAATATGGAGTCTGAAAAAGATGGTACATACATACTGATGTCAAACACATATGCTTCAGTCAGTAAATGGAAAGATGCTTTAGAAGTAAGAAAAGCAATGAAGAGACAGAAAATAAAGAAAGTCCCTGGATGTAGCTCCATTGAACTTGATGGTGTTGTTTCCGAATTTAGGAGATGCGACAAAGCCCATCCACGAAGTAAAGACATATATGTGATGGTTGAGCAATTGACATTTCATCTAATTGGTACAGAGGCCTCATCAGACGGAAGTGAGTATTGCATAGTTTGAATGGTGCAAAGAAACTGCAATTATTACCTGAGTTGAATGGCTAGTTAGATAGGACACTTGTGCAACCACTGCTCTTCTATATGTTACTACTCTGTTTTACTCAGCTTGCCTCTTTTACCTGAACGAAGCCCACGTAATGCTCTGTGCAATGAAATAGGTAGCTTTATCCGAAAATGAAATTTTGTCAAGTTGATCTCAGGCTTCAATTCTCGACTTATATTGCACGAATTATTTAGAAGCTTTGCCACTTAAAAAAGCTTTAGGACAATTCCTTCGTACATTTTGTAACAAAAATTTTAGAATAGTAATAAAGTATTTACACATAGCTCATGAGTCGTGGGCAATTCGTTACAAGAAACTTTTGTGACATCATCTGTGATTATTGTTGGTATACTTGCACTTCGCAGTTTGCACATCAAACATTACATGTATTTACTGTATTTACCATTAGATTTATCATTAACTAATTTCTTTCTACCTTCTAAGCATTATGATTTGAAGTCCAGAGTTGCCAGTTAAAAGGCATGAGAGATTTTGCTTAGCCCTCAAGGAGATGACCAAGGCAAGTAGTCGAAGAACTGGAGTTACAACGCGGGGAACAAAAGTTAAAGCCTCAGCAAAGGTAACACACACCATGTGATTTCTTCCTAGTTACCTTATCTGCAAAGGACTACATCTTAGTTTATGACTAAATCTCACATAAGTAATTAGTAATGCTATTCTGAATTCGATGGATATATTAATCTTAGTTTATAACTAAAACACGAAAAATTCAATGAACATGATACTCATAACTGCAAACTTAGCCTCAAATGGCTTGAGAGAGGTTGTGTTGGTTGCGTTCACACAAAGATTTCTTATAAAACAAAGACAAGAATATTGTACTCAATCCTGAGATGTTTGAGTTGTATTGGACCTAAATTCTTGTGAAACAATAGAATTTAATCAATCCAATTTATGTCGTTAAGGTGGAGAACTGAACTAGAATTCTCTTTCTTCATTGTCAATCGAAAAGACAATAATTGACGTACAAGGGAAACATGCAGTTAGCAGCAGAGTTCTTAGGTGGTAGAGCACTGTGACGTATTAGGAAGCATCTCAGTTAGCTTCTTGAAACAACAGAAAATATATCTTCTGATTTCCGTTAGCTACGGATTCGGTAAAACTCAGTATTATGTTTTAATTTGTTTGCCTTACTTTCTTTTGAGTTTGTTTAAAAAAAGAATGACTCTTTTCCTTTTTAGCAACTCTTTAGTTACCAACTTTTCACGTGACATGTTTAATATCACAAAATTTAATGTATTTTGATGCATTTGACATATCTTTAATTTAGGACTGCAAGATTCAAAAGTCCTCTTTGTTTTCTTGAAATCTGTGTCAAGTCAAAATATGACAAACAAATTTAAACAAAGGGAATACTAATTAATTAAGTTAGAGAGGACTCCTCAAACATTACTTGTAATTTAAGTAGGAAAAGAGTTTAATTTTCTGCTACATTGAGTGGATTAATTTCTTTCCTTGTCTAATTCTAAATTCTAAAATATAAAAGTTTCGAACCAACTCAATTGAGAGGTGTGTCAAATTTTTATTTTTCATCCATTATAAAAAAGGAATAATTTCTTCCTAAAAAACAGAACCGGTACGTGAGTGATATGTTTGAGACATAATATGATTACGTAATTAAAAGTTTGCTTTTGCGCACTAATAGCTCTTTCGAATCCCTCTGCAACACATAAAAGAATCACACGCTTAACTAAAAAATCAGACTCACACGTGAGAGATCAAAGACCTAATTAAGTAAATTTACAAATGCTTTTTCTATATGATCTTGTAGATCAACAACTTAACTAGTGTAGGTGACTAGGTGAGCCATTAGCCTGCAGCAATAGATAATTAGTACTAATGATTATGAAGTGTAACAAAATAGTTGTGATTTCCTAACTGGACGTATAAATTAGTGACAACTACTAAGGTATATTTTCGGAATTACCTAATTAGAAAAAGAATTTCTGATAATTTCGTCCATCAAAACAACATATCCCGTGTAATTCTAGAAGTTTATGGAGGATGGGTTTTACGCAGACGTTACTCTTTGTGGAGGATAGAGAAGATGTTTCTGATACTTTCATTCCAATTTTTTTTTAAACATTAAATGAGTATGTATAATTAATATTAGTGAGTAACTGCATGATCCAAGTTGGGAGTCACAAGAAAAGTGTGATCGACCTTTCAGCATATATTATAGTCAATGATTGAGCATCTACAGCTAACAACATTACTGGAAACAATTTATTTTTGGCTGTTCCCTATTGTGAAGCTATTGTTGTTACAATATGGGTAACAAAATCAAATAGGAGTACTAATCAATTATTCTATTGCTTATTAATAAAAAAGATATATAGTATATTTCTAATTTTTATTAATTTTTTTTCCATCAAGCAAATGTAATTTGAATTTGCGCCAGAAAGTCTTATAATACAATTTCCATCTTTCAATATGATGTTATATACGCAGCAAAAAGCTAAATGAAAATTAGGCGTACATAACTAATATTGTTATTACATTTTAATCTCATGCTAGCTCGGAGCATATTACGGCCCTGATTAGGTCAAAGATTCAAATTAATTTAGATAAGCCTAAAAATTATTTACATCAACTTTCTATGATTTCACATTAAACGGCGATAAACACTGGTGATGTTATCACTTGCCAATTAAGAGTTAGTAACATTTTTATATTTTTGAAGCCAAATATAATCATAAATTCACAGTATTATGTAAATAAATTAATTGGACTTAGAATTCAAGTGCACTGATAAACATTATAGGTAAGAATGACAAACGAGTGGATCGAGTCATATATATAAACGGACCAAAAATAAATTAGGTGTAAATATATATGATCGATTTTATACTTGATATAAATAAAAAATAAAAAGAAGTTAACTAAGGGATTCATATTATCCATTACTTCTTAAATAAGATATGAACTTTTTTTCTTCAATCAAAAATAAGATATTTTATAAGATGTTAGTATTTTCTTTATTTCATTTTATTTGATCTTTAATTATATCAAAAAATAAATATTTTAATTATTTATTTGTTCATTTTAACGAATTAAGAGATTATTTTCCCTATACTATCTTTAGTATTAAATAACTAAATAAACTATCAGTAATCAAATTTAGAATTTTACAATATCACTAATAAAGTTAGTTTAGTAAAAATACACTTTTAAATTAAAACTTTCTTAAAAAGTGTGTAGGATCAACTTAAATCAAGTAATATAAAACGGAGGAAGTACTTCTTATAATTAAATTTGACTAATAGAATGGAATAAATTAATTTACTCTAAATATAAAAGATGTAGCTAATTAACTAAATCCGAATAGAATTGATTGTTGCTTACTAATAATAAATTTTATTAAATTTATTATTAAAAACATAGATTATATTTATATTCCACTCACTAAAAATCTTGATTCCAACTATGTACATAAACAATTGGTTACATAAATAATGCTAGTAGTACTTTCTGCTAGGAAGTATGACATTGACTATTGTCGTTATCATGTACCTTGTACATTACACTACTTTCTCCGTCAATTTTTAATTGTCATATTATATTTTTTAAAAATTAATTTAATTAATTTTTAAAATTAAATTAGATTATATTGATTTAATATTTTAAACAAAAAAAAAGATATTCAAAAACTATACGAACAATACTATAAATTACAATTTTTTTCATATCAATATGATTGAAAAAATACATCGTAAAATGTTAATCAAATTTTTTATCATTTAACTCTAAAAAAAGGAAACAATGACCATTAAAAGTGAACGGAGGAAGTACCTTGCTATTAGGTAGTAGTAATTAAATAGTTTAATTTTTTGGCCATGAAAAATTAAGCTAGCATTCTATATAGTTCAATTTTTTTTCTTTTTAAACCAAAAAAATTTGTAGTCGCTATATTTTAGGCGTGCATCATGGGTTAATTCACTCTTATACAATAACTTACAAATCATACAAAAATTTGATGTGATGAACTCGATCGAGAAGACGGTTGGCAGAGGAAATCAATCCCTAACCAACTCAGATAGTTTTTTCTTTGTGGCTTCCTTTTTGATTAATTATTTTGCTTTCAAATATAAACACTTGATAATATAAACGAAGAAGGGTAAACAAATGTCCTTCATTTATAGTTTGGGTCAATAATGCCTTGTCGTCAATATATTGGTCCAAAAATGTCCTTGTCGTTGATAGTTTGGTCCAGAAATGCCCCAATAATTACTAAACACAGGTCAAAATATTGACGTCAACATAAATAGGTATTGACCTATTAAGTAACAATAAGAGCATTTTTGAATTAAAATATTGACGACGAACATTTTTTAGACCAAATCATAACGAAGAATATTTTTTATTCATTCACACAATTGAAAGATATTTTTGACCCTTTTTCATAAATAAATTACTGTTTTATCAAAGTTTGATTTCAAAATGCACAAGGGATATAAATTGAAGTAAAAATGTTTGAAAGATAGTATACATATTCACGCAAATGGTGATATTTGTGGAGATATTGTTAGTTGAGAGTAACAATTTGTTTATCATTCTAATGACATGTGGTAAAGGGACCCACTCTTCAGTAATTTCCTCCATGCAAACTGCCCACTCCAACTAATTTAAACAGTCATATTTATGCCTACTTGTGTATAATGATGTTGTTTGTTTGAATTTTTTTTTTTATTTATTTAGCAAATTATCGTTCTACACTTATAAGAGTTTAAATTTTATTTCATTGGTATATATTAAAATAATGTAAGAAGTATAACATGAAAAATTGATTAGTGTAGTAAAATAATGTTATATATGATTGTTGTTATAAAAAAAATTATAATAATGTTACAGAGGGAAACGAGATTTTGAATTTAGATTTTGACTATAAAATTGTTTTTGCTAGAGTGTGTGTTGTCTTTGGTGTGAGTTTTTCATAG